CTATAACTTCAAGCCAACCCCAAAGCACCACTACAAGCCAAAGCACCTCACGCACCCCAAAGGGCACCTCGAAGCCCTGCAGCGCATTCTTTAGCCGAACACCGCACCCCAAAGAGCACCACTCAGCAAACCACCCCAACCATGCGCACGCCTGAAAGTGAAACACCCCGCCCCGCCCTGAACAACATTTGAAAGCCAAGCAGCGCACCCTCTTCTCTCACTTCTGGCTTTCTCTCTCTCTCTCTCTCTGTGTCTTTACCCCTCTTGTTCTCACCCATTCTCTTACCTCCTTGTTTTCTGCTGATTATTGTCTTTCTCGTATCTCTTTGCATGCTTTTAATTGTGTGTCTCTTCTTTCCCTTCTCTCCTCTCTTCTCTCTCCTTTCTCTCGCTCACTCTCTGTCTCTTTCTCCTCTTTCTCTTCTTTCTCTCCTCCCTCTTCCCTCTCTCTTTTTGCATCACTTGCTCCCTTTGCGTGCGTGTCTCTGTGTGTGCGTCTCGGGTGAGTTCAAGATATCTTCTAACTTGGTTGGTTGGCATTTATTTATGGACCATCCGCGCAATGAGAGCAAACAAGTTCCAGTTTCATCCTGCCAGGAATTCCGCGATGAAGCCGCCGAGGACTTGGGCGTCGGAACCCTCAATGAGCCTTTTAAGCCAAGCCTCTATGATCGCAAAGCTGTCCATAACTCAAGGTCCTGCACTGCGCCCTTGCAAAAGGGAGATGGCCTGTTCAAGTGGCCGTTTGGACATCCCAACCATGACTCCCTAAACCCTACCCCCTAAACCTCTTAAGCCCTAAAGCCTAAATCCTAACCCCCAAACCCCCTAAACCCTAGACCCCTAACCCTAACCCCCGTGTTCTGTACACTTCTGCGGGGTGATGGACTGAGTAGGCTCATGTATTGAGAAGCCAGCTGGAGCTCCCCAACTTGTGCATCCTGTAGGGTTTAGGGTTTGAGGGGTTTAGGGTTTAGGGGTAAAGGGTTCGGCTTCGGGATGTTTAGGGTTATAATGGGGTTAATTATACAGGAGTAATGGAAAAGAACATGGAAACTACCATGGTATACTAGGGTTGCATGGGTTTATCTAGTCTTTGGCACAAAGATTAGTTACTCCTGTCCTTCTTGTGTGTTGGCTGCCCCGAATTCTGTGGATCCTGAGTTCTGGATCCTTAGATTCAGCAGGAGCGGGTGATGCGCCGACTTGGCAACAGGCGTTCAACGTCGGAAGGCCGATTCACTTGCTCTGTTGCTGTACGTAATTGCTTGTGGTGGCTATGCAGCTACTACGATGATTATTATGTTGATGCAGCCTTCATTCATTGCTTTTACTACCGAGGCTCTCCTACCGAAGATATGTCTACTTAGCCCTATATCGCCCAGTTAGGACTGTGACAAGCCCTAGGGAAAACGCATTGGCTAAGGAGGTTTAAGTTTCACTAAGTAGATAGAGTAGATAGATCTTTTGCGAAAGATATATCTACGTACAGAAACTTACACAAACTTACACTTACATGTGTTAAGTCATGTTAAGTCAAAGCAGATTTTGTTAAGGTTTTTCTGGATTTAGCGGAACTTAGGAATACTTAGCATTACTTTGCTGTTTGGTCTGTTTTTGTGGTGAGACGTTTAGAACAGGTGTATGGATGTGATCCACAATTCGACAGCCTTTTGAACTGTAAAATGTTTGCGTCCTAAACCCCGAATTTGGAGTTCTAACGTAAGCCCAATTTTTTCCATCGCATTTTTGGGCTTAAAACGAGAAGAGAAAATTCTTCATAAATCTTCTAATGTCTTTCTAATATTTTCTGAACATGAATGAGCCCTGTCGTCTTCTTGTGTCTTCTGATTGTTTTTTGCTCAGAAAGCTACATGTCTTCTTTATATTCCTTTCTGGCCTGTGCATGTCTTCTTATGGCCTCTCATGTCTTTTTATCTTGCATCTAAGAATAGTGTACTGAAATCTTCTCGATTCTTCTCAAACCTTCATATCTTCCATGTTCGTTTATGATTTCTTATATCTTCGGGACAGCTATCTCAGCTCGGCTCCGCCGCAGCTCCTTCCAGCTCTTAGCTTGGCTTCCTTGCTCTGGCTTGCTGGGCGGTTTGTGCCGCCTACTTGAAACTGCTTCGTATTTTGGGCTGCATATGCAAGTTTCGAATAATATTAGGCAAAACACATGAAAAGTTAGCTTCACTTAGGAAATGTTAGAAAAGTTAGCCATCGTTAACACAACTTATGTTAAGTCATGTTAAGTTTTGTGGTTTCATAAGTTACTTGTAACTCCACTAAGTATGTTTAAGTAGATGTATGTTTTGGGGGAGAGTCTCCGTAGTTCCATTCCTTTTTAACTGCTTCCATTTTTGTTGCCACTATTGCCCTATCACTATTGCGAGGACTATCATTCCAATTGACAGTGCTGCCATCACTGTTACTATATTGAGCCGGTTTACCTGCGCCAGTACTGTTGTTCAGTTTTTAGGACTAGTGATAGGACTAATCGCTGTAGTGAGGAGTCCAGCACACATACAAGTATCACTACAGGTACTAGTGTACATGCTAACTATTTTGCTCCGGCTCCTGCTCCTTCCTGTTGATGTCATTGTTCGCGCTCCTGCTACAACCCTGGTCCACTACCACTACTGCCAGGCTGTAACAACTCATCTCTTCCGCTCCCCTCGTCCCCCATCCTGCCGCTGATGCGAGGCGTTTGCTGAGTTGTGCTAGTGCATTCGTGATTCCTCTCATGGCATGGTTCTTTTGGTACCTAGGGTTTTGGTGTTTGTGGCATGTAGTACCCCCATAATCCGGACAGTAGCTTGCAAGCTTGCAAAAAACAGTACTAGCAAAGGAGGTTGAGATGGGTTCAGAAGATGGCTACTTTTTTTGCAGGATCTTGGGAGCATGAACAGTGTTACGCTTCCGAGAGACTGACTTAGTTACAGTTTCTTTCCAGATTTGAGGTCAAGTGCGGCAAGTCACCTCGGCATTCCAATTCTTTGTCTTGTGATCGTACGCTATTGAGATAGTGGAACTCCATCCTTTTTTGGAATAATCTTGTCTTTCTGATTCTGAGTTGTAGCAAGATCTTGCGCTGTGAAGGCTCCTGGTCGATCATGTCAGCGAACTGAAGTCACTCCCGCGGCGTGAGGACTTTCAGTGTTCATCCTGTATGAAAGTGGCCCAACCTCCTAGCACATGGCAAGCACCTTTTTGCGGCCTCCGTGGCAATCAAGCTGTGATCACAAAACAAAAAAAACGCATCTCAGATGAGGTAGTGGCTTCTTCTGGACGCTGCAGTAATCTGCAATGCAGTCAATAACATAGTAGACTTGCTGCAAATTCGGGACCTGTTGTCTCTGGAAATGCAGCTTTCGAGCTGAGACTGGAGTTTATCGAAGTACCCAGGAGGAGGCTACGGAAGCGAAGGGTAGGTGCTCGCACGCGTGTGCTTTGAGAATTCGATGCTGCCATTGCTAGGCACCTTAAGGCCCCTGCGCAAGAGGCGTTACTATGGGGCAAGGGATCTCGTAGCTAAGAGATCGAGATGGAGCCTTGACAGGCTACGGGGTTACGTTTAGTCCGAGTGGCACGAAGTGGTGATGTGGGAAGTTGCTTTCAATAAGTTTTCGGGTCTTTGTCTTCGATATGGCCCAGACACTTCGGCCGCCACAACAAGTACACACGTGTTCCACAGCTTAGTTGAAACGGCTAAACTCCGTGCTCGCCTAGATGGTCTCTCCTCTCTTCTTAGCTGAAGCTGCTTCCGGATTGCAGCATCACATGGCCAAGCATGTTGATGCTGTGACTGCTTTTGAGATCCCGAGGTTGCCATTTAAGCTTGCAAGCTTGCTTTAAACCAGGCATGGGCAGGAGGGCTCTAGACGGCGGCCTAGTGACCAGTCACAAATCCTGAGCAGGCTGGTTACCTGGTTTCGAACGTCTTGCTTGCAGCAGAAACGTTTAAAGCTCTTTGAAGTAGCATGTCATGTAAAACCCGCTAGATGGCGCATCACAAGGATGCTGCTATAGTTGATGCCGATCATGGCTCATGTTGCTGCCCCGATTGATTAACAGGCTGCAGCAAGTGAAGCTCGACAGGCGCAAAATGTTCCAGTTGCTTTGGAAGGTGCTGCGCTGCAAAGGTTTTCCGTAGAGTGCTTCAGTTCTACTCTTAATGAGGTTAAGTTGGGAATTGCTTCCAGCAGTTGAAGTCGGGGTGCACGCTGAAAGAGGTTCATGTTGTCAAGACTCCAGTAGTACTGCACACCATATTCGGCAGAAGCTGAAGACGTAGCATTGTTGCTCACTGGGCCGGGGCCCAGGAAGGAGCTCAAATGACAGCTCGGTAAGTTACTGAACCATTGCCTGCGTCATCATGTGCATCAGGATCCGTTTATGCTAGGTTGGCTGTATTTACATGGGCTGTGACTGGTTGATGGGAAGAACCAGGGTTGATGGTTCATTCTTGAACCTCCTGGACATGTAGCTGCCACATGTTGCGACGGAGAAAGCACCTTCCTGCTTGAGTCTTTGCATTTACTATTTGTTTGCTTGTCCGTTAGGCTGGTTCGGTTGTTTTCTGGGGGGGATTAGGGCGGGGTTTAGGGTTTAAGTTTTATGGTCCCTGACGTCAGCGACCTGCATGGAACATTCGGACTGTACACACAAGCAGGAACATGTTACGGGCAGCTGTGACAACCAAGGGACTTCAGACCTCAGTCACGCGAACCTTCACGGAGCCGATGTGAAATCTTCCTTGGGCTAGGTCTTCTAGCTAAAGCACTTGGACTGCAATATATTGTATAATGTCTCCGGAAATATATACTTTAGGATCTTCCGATCTCAAATTTCTCCTTGGTGTTCCGTAGCGCAACGTCAGTCTGCAGCCGAAAATGCGGATCCGTTGGGACCAAGCAGCACGGACCCGTGCTGTACTGGAAAAAGTTGCCGATTTTTGTTCTTTCCTAGCTACGAAATTGCGTTCAGCATCCCAGGAGAGATTGATACCAGCAATCTCAAAGCAGCATGAGGAGGCTGTAGCCTCAGAGGGAACCCTCAGTTGAGATGTGCCTGTGAGCAGGATGCAACTCCTTATTGTTGGGCTTTCTGCCTATTGCTGGACTTTCAGGCAGTCCCTATATGGCTCCCAGTTATTTAAATAGTAGGCTAGTATGTAACTCTAGGGTATAATACCGGGTATATAGAACCTACAACCCGCTATTTCCTGTAGGGAGCTATGCATTCATGTCTCAAGTTTTTTGGGGTCTAGCTTCCAAAGAGTATACAGAAAACTGTTTTCAAGCACTTACCAAAAGCAGTGACAAGCTGTTTGGCTCTTCCTGGGCAGGCTAGAGATATTTTTGCGGGTCAGCTAGGGAGGTAAGAGATGTATGCGCCAGCGTATCAACAGACTAGTGCAAGACATTTCTTATCAAAAGTCTGCACAAAGGGACTGCAGATCTCGTGGCTAGATTCTGCAAGTAGGGTGTTCAGGATGGTCCCACACGGTGTTGCGGTCAATAGGAGATAGCTTCTTATATGACCGGCAAGCCATGGGTTGTTGGCCCACCAGCGGCCAAGCGTAAGTCAGACACTATTGCAGAGAAAGCACAATGCAATGAGTAGCGCTGTTCGGGGTGGATGGAGTTCTGTCAGGGATCGGTGCCAGGGACCGTCTTCGAAGTCTAAACTGCGCAATTTCAAAAACTACACCCTTGAATTGAATGGCAACATGAAACATGGAAGCAAGAATCCCTCCTACCTGTACTCTCAGGGCTTCATACAAAGTTGCAGCAGCCTTGCATGCGTTGATTTTCGCCTTGTGCATGCAATGATTGACGGAAGGCTTTTCTTTTGAATGCTGCCTGCCTGGAACCCTGAAATCAACCTCATGTATCACGTGCTGTTCAGGGACCCACGTTCTTCGGTACTACCAGCATGAACAAACCTAGACTCCTTTGAAAGCCCTGCCAACTTTAAGAATATGTCTTCGGGCCTGGGTCCTTGGGCTTCAAGTATGCCTTGCGAGAACTTCCCACTCGCTCTCTTACCTCCATACCGTGACCACGTACAGCCAAGTGTTAGTGTAAGCTCAGAAGCCCTGAAACTTCAGTACTGGCCCCCCTCAGTAACAGCTGGAAAATAGTCATAATGTGGTTATATGTAGCCCTTAATAGAACCCCTAATATAGACTGTTACTGGGGGGGACAATACCCAACCTAAACCCTAAACCCTAAACCCTAATCCCTAAACCCCCAAACCCCAAACCCTAAACCCTATAATCCCCTATATAACCCTCTTTAGGGTATACCCTTACTCCCTACTAAGCTACAGTAGACTGTTACTGAGTGGGGGCAGTACCCAACCTGAAACCATGACTCTGCAGGCGGTGCGGCGAGCACCGCCTCCTGGGCCCCCGGCATCCGGGAGTCCATCGCAGCTTGATTTGATTTCGGTCCAGTCCCAGACGCCCTAAAGGATCCAAAAAATGGAACCCCCTAATACTCCCCAATTTTCTCAATGTAGTAATGGGTTCATCTTGGGTGGGTTCCATTTTTTGGATCCTTTAGGGGGTCTGGGGTCGGGATTTCTGCAGGAGTGAGCAGTCCTGTCGCTTCTTGCCCAGCAGCTTATAGCCTGCCAGCATCGCAGCGTTAGCTGCTTAGATCCTTGGTCCCCGATACGTAGAATCATGCATACGTCGCGTTTGGTTGAGTAGATGGCTATGAGCATCCCTAAGGAACGCCATTGAAACATATAGACATGTAGAGCGGTACACGTTGCCGCTGCCGCTGCCGCTGCCATGGACAGGAGCAGCAGCGGCGGCGGTGTCGTCGCCAGAATGAGAAGCATGTGATAGACATCATGGTCAGCCATAAGCATTGCCAGTAGCGATATGTTATCATGCAACACCCATGGAGCCCAAGACCCCTTAATTAAGGAATATACCCTACATGGTACTAGGGTCCCTGATATTGAAGGCATATGCCTTCATTAAGGGGTATTGGGCTCCCTGGGCACCTGTTGAAGGACCGCTGCAGCTATCGTTGCATTCAACTTCACAACCCTAAGTCCAGGTGATGAATCCTTGGTATGCCGTGGTGCTAGCTCCGCACAACAAACGTAGCAGAAACCGCGTGAGAAGCTTCTCCAAGCTGTAGTCCGGGCAGGTGCCAAAATTAAGTTTCAAGATGTGCCTCAACTATCAGAGCCTTCGTCCAGGGGCCGCTTCAGAAGCAGATGCCATGTTCGGCACATGCCGTTACGTGCCCCAACATTGTAATATAATGAGGGTGGTGTTGCCAAGGTTGTTCCGTCTTTGGGAGTCCAGAAGCAGTGACATAACAGTCAGTCTTTTGGGTTCTATACCAGGGCGATCGCTATTGCAAGTACTACCTTTTCCGGCGTATGCAGTACACCATGTGCAACACAACCCCTAATTATCAAGAAAGGACATCCAGCAGAAACCCTGAACCCAAAAAACCTAACCCTAAACTCTAAAACCCCCAAACCCACCCTACAACCCAAAACCCCTAAACCCTAAACGGTTGCAAGGCCCGGCGGCAGCTTCCGCCCCCGTGCCCGCCGCTTGGAGGCTACGACCTCAACGCCAAACCCCAAGGCTTAAACCCCTGCAACGCCAACTAATTCTCAACAGCTTCGTACTCGTAGGAATCATCCGCGAATGAGTAGATATCACCCATAAATCTGTAGGTGATAGGCAAAAAATGGGGATCCTAATTCACCCTGACGAGCCTCAGGCCTGTAGGGCTTCGTGGGCTACTTTCAGCAAGCTGCTGGCTTTGAAGCTTTGAAGTAAACCCAAGGACTTAAGCCCCAAAGCCTAAGGCCTCAACCGGTGGTTTCCGCAAGTTGGGGGGTCAATTTTTTCAGGGGACTCATAGTCATGGATTCTTGGAACCCTCCCCGAATCCTAATACCCTCAATCCTACCTGAACCCCAAAAGTAGGTAAAATAATAGCCCAAGACCTTTCAAGATAGCCCAAAAGGTCATTATTCTACACGTTGTTGGGGTCTAGGTACATCCTAAGCCCTAAATCCTAAACACGGAGGATGCGCCGCAGGAGGCTGCAGAATTGGCTGTGGGAGATTTGGCGGCCTGGCTCTGGGGAGGTTGGCTCGTGGAGCTTGGGTTTAGGGTTTAGGCTTTAGGGTTTAGGGCTTAGGGTTCTGGTTAGGATTCAGGCGTTGAGGGTTTTCGGGCTCAGTGGCTTAGAGGGGTTTAGCGGTTTTGGGTGTATGAGATGCGGTTTATTTGGTGTCAACTGTAGGGCTGTCTGATTGCTTCTCCCCTTTGTAGTATACTTTCCTTTCTGCGAACCATGTTCGTTCCCAACATGTCTGTCATGTGTTTTCCCCCCTGTTAGAGGGGGTGAATCTTGCGCAGCAGGTGCTTACCCTGAAATTCAAAGATCCAAGCCCTATGTAGCTAAAGTTCTGCTACTTCATGATGCTCAGATATGACTGCCCCTGGACTCTCAAGTATAGTATTGGTGTAATCTTAATATGTTTGTATTGCTATGGCAGTTCAAGATTACAGCCTTTGAGTTTGTTTGATAAAGCCGTTACGTGGCAGTTCGAATGTAAAGCTTTACCTGAAGAACCAAGGTGTGTAGTTTCCTGTCCTTTACGACTATTTCATGGGTTTGGGCCGTTGTTTTACCTACCTTTGAGGTCCAGGTATTGCCTTTGGAAAGATGGCGTTCTTGTTCCGGATATCATGCGAGTCTACCCTGTGGTAGCTGAGCTAGTACTACCCGTGCAAGTTCTACTGCTGTTTGTGCTAACGCTGTGTTCCTAGCGATCCTATAACTGGCTTTCAAATCACAAAGGCTGCATTGAACCTGCTACCACGAGACGGCCATTTCAGGTCACTAGGCAAAGTCTCAAGGGTTGGCACGTATTGTGATGCCGATGCTTTCGGGGCTGGTTCGGGGGCTTGATTGAGGACCCGCAACTTGTGATTGTGAACCCAGATGATCCAGCAGCATTTCCGCCGCGGCTTAGAAAAAGATACGACATATGTGCTTCTAATGAGTTCCTTATTCCCCCGACTCTTTTTTCAGCAGACAGTCAAAAACGTATGCACTCTTCTTGTTCCTGCAGAAAATTTCAGAGGCATTAAGCTCGAACTCTGACTCACATCTTTAGCAGATGCTTTATAGATCCCAACCCTTACCTACGAACGCGTAAGCTTGGAAATCAGACACGGCACGGCCTTTCAACCGGTGCAGAGAATTCAGATCTTTGGGCGTAGAAGGTGTGTATTTGGGGCAACAGTAAACCTTGAACTGCGCCTGTGAAGACCTTACTCGTGGCAACCTTGCCCCCGAAATCCAGCCGTCTCACACATGGCTAAGCATCTAAGCCTGAAGCTGCAAACCGTAAAACGCAAAATCCTTTAAGTTGTGCCTGAGGTATGTGTACAGGGTCTAGCATCTGCGGCGCAGTACAATGGCGAGAATGGCACCGTACGAAACATTCGGCCACCTTGCTGCAAAGAGCATGTCTGTAAGGTTAGTTAGGCAGCTTCTCCAAGACTTCCCCACGAAGTCTTTCACAGGCCACATTATCTTCTTTTTTTCCCGTGTCAGGAATCCCGCTTGGAAAACAGCTTGCAAACCTGTAGATTAAAAGTTTCTAGGCTCATGCTTTGACTTTCAACTGGATACAGGCAACTGGATACAGGATGCAAGATGAAGGGCTGGGGAATTGGGGCTCAAGGGGTATCGTATCGGGCCAAGTGCACATTTGAGGATGCAGGACATAAGTTGAACGTTCCACTCTGCTATCTACTTTTGCCTCGAGACCAACATCTTCTGTGCGAGCGAGATGTTATATATATATATAGCTATATATGCAAACAAGACCTTGAACAGACTGGAGGCTCCTAAGGCGCAAGCATGACCTGCGCCAAAAAGAGAATAAACTATGTCATAGCCCAGGCGCGACGATTCTCGAAGCTGCCAATACCTGTGAGTGAGCATGACCAGCTAGCCTGTTTGTTTTTGCACAATCACTTAACCCCACTACCTAAACCCCAAAGCCCTAAAATCTCCAAACTTTCCTCTATCCCATGAAGCTAGACCCCCTATACCCTGCGCGTGCAGCTCTTTGCCTCACCTCTGCAGGCCTGACGGCCGCATCGAGATCGAGCTTGTCCTTGACCATGCTGATGCCTCCACTGGAAGCAGTCCCCAAGCAGGGGGTGGTGGAGGAGGAGGTCATGGGGCGGTGAAGGTAGTTAGGGCTTTTAGGTTTCTAGAAGGTTTAGGCAGAACCCCGAACCCTTGCATCCTGCAGCACAGGAGTCCTCAACCCTGAACATGTAATCGCTTTTACGCTCCCACGAAGGATGCTTAATCAACCTTGTCGTCAGGAGCTGTGCACAGCAAGGTCCTTGCTGTCCGGCCCGAGAATCTGCTGGGTGCCTCAGTAATTCCCATCGATGTGATGCCTACCAGATCTCGAGACAGACAAGCTTCCAAATGGGAGTGGCAAAGAATAGTCGGTTTGTAACGGGCGGCCCTCCCGCTGCAACAAAAGAAGCGGTCATGCGAAAGACCCCTGCGACAAACCCCGCCTGCACGCCCAAGGGCCGCGACAGAGGTCTGAAACGGCACGTGTGCCCGCGACAAATGGGCATTCGGCCGACACCGTATCACAACTACGCTCGTCACGTGGGAAACAGTCAGCATTAGCGGAGGCTTCATCCTATATAACCTCGAAATGATCCTTCCAGCAAGTCTTGCCTTAAGAATCTACAGCAACGTAGGACGTTGAGAGTTGAGGGCTCCGTCCTAGGCCCAAGCCATAAACTGCCCCAACCCTGATGCTAAGGGCCGAACTACAGATCCTGTTCCCTGCTCTCTGAACTTCGCTCGAAACCTTCATCCCCAGCCGCCCCAACCTAGTATAGTCCTCTAAGCTCCAAACCATGGCAAACGTTCATGTATAATAACCTCGCCCCATCTTGCCCCAAATGCTACTTGATTTGAAAAATGGTCCCAACAGGGCTTAACTTCAGGTTCTGAGACCACGACAATTAGGCCAATACACCTTCAACCCCAACCCGCCCTACATCCTTGAACTCCTCAATTCCCAACACAGAAGTCGTAAGCCTCTGAACCCCCAGATACCCTTCCCCTGTCCCCTCACCCTAAACCCTTTAACCTACAGAACCCCCATAGGCCCCCCCTCCTCACCTCTCTGAGGCAGCGCCTGGCGACTGCTCCGCTGCCTACACAGTGCTCCGGACTCCTCGGGCAAGGTGCAGTCCAATCCTGCTCCTGTAATGGTGTTTTATGATGATTACATAGGGGCTTTAACGAGTTGCATAGGAGGTTGCCGGGATTACATATAGGGCTTGAAAGGAAACTATACAGTCTCGTAGAGATTATATAGGCGTTTGCCTCCAAATTCTGCTTCTGTCAGGCAAAAAGAGGGTTGCTGTAGGTCTACAGTGTGTTGGGTAGGGCGTTTTATGCTTCAGGTTTCCAGGATTTAGGTTGTGGTTGCCAAAAGAAGGAAAAGAACGTGTCCTCATACTTGATTAGATCAGAGCTTAGAAGCTGCAAAGATTGCGCGATGCCCATATGAAAGGTCAAATGTTTGTCATTGTTTTGTGAATAATTGCGCTTGTCTTGCATGCGGTATGTCCTAGCACCTACACCCTCCTAAACCTTGTCTCCCCCAAGCCTTGAACCCCCAAAAGCCCACAAGCCCCAGCCTGTACAAAATCGAGCGTTCTCGGTGCGCTTCCACTATCGTCTCCAATCTTCTTGAGGATGGCCTTCATTCAACCTTAGACCGCAAACTAATCTTTCTCCTTGCATACCCCAAGCTAAGCCTACAAGCTCTATATAGAGACTTGCCTCACCGTGCTAGGTGCCGAGGCGCTAACGCTGGAGGAGCGCGGCTATCAGCAAGCGCTTCACGAAAAGTAAGGTTGACCATGAGCTAATCGCGGAGTATTATAGGGCCTACTAAGGAGATACTAGGAGTTTAGACTATGACCTACGTGATGTCGGGTTTCTAATGTGGCTTTTGGTGATGGTATATATATATATAGGTTCCTTTGGAATATCGGCGAGTGTATATGTGGAGAGTCCAGCCACCTTGTTTAGCAAGAAAGGAGCATCGGTCATGTGAGGCCTGCGTGGAAGCCTGCTACTGTAGTTGGCTTCATTTTTCTGCCGGTTCCGAAGCCTTTTCATTAGTATTGGAGGGCCCGCAGGTTTGTAAGACGCCATATTCCCACTTTAAGGGCTGTTAGCGGCTAAGTGATCAAGTGCCCCATGTTCGTACTTGAACCCTCTTAATTCGCGTCCATTCAATTAATTACCCGAGTTGAGGATTCCAAGATTGCACCCTTCAGGTCCTACCCCCAAGTACTTCCTCAACATTTTAGTACTAGTAAGAATAGGAATAATCATCGTAGTAATACCAGTAAAAATAGTAATAGCCCAAAATCCCTGGAGTGAGAAGAGGACTTCGACCCCAGCCGAGCTCGACCTCATGAGGCCTGGGTGGTTTTGGGGTGTACACTTCCCCAAATAAGGATTATTTTTCATTTTTGAGGGACCTATCCAGGGTTCCATGTTAATCGGGGAAAGACATGGTGTACCAAGGCTAACGTGATGTGGGTTGGGGTTTATATAGGGTATTGCGCTTTCAGGGTTTGTGGTTGAGCGTTTCGGTTCGCTCGGCCCCAACCACTCCCGCCCATGGGGCCCTGCAGCGGGAGCAAGTTTTCTGGGCTTCAAGTTTCAGCGTCCAAGTCGAAGTAGTAGGGTATGAGTATGTGCGAGTTGCATTTCTGATTCAGAGTCCTCCGGGTATTTTCTGAGGAAGCATAGTGTGTAAGCTCACATGTCACGCTTGTTTTTGTCCACATCTTCCGGATTGTTGGGATGACTCCCGATCAGATGGTCGGTCCTTCCCGGCCCTTTCAGCCAGCCATCACCTGCCCCAACTGGGGTTTTAGGGTTTTTAGGGTTTAGGGCTTAGGATCCCTAAGCCTGAAACCCTAAACCCTAAACTTTTAAATCTCCAACCTTACTCCCCACTCATCCTCCAGGATGGTTGTCAAATTAGGGCCCTCTGTGGGGCCCGAAAAGTCCAGCAGGGTGGCGTAATAAGTAAAACTGTGTAGGGTTTAAGGTTTAGGGCTTAGGGTTCCCCAGAAAGGACCATAAACTTGACGAGTTCCAATGCATGTACCTGTAGTAGCACCCCAAAGCCCCAGGCCCTGTTGTAAGTATTTTGGCCACAGCTACTGCACCAAGTTGATCTGGTTATGGCCTTTTGGTGAAGGGGTATTGGTTCTCAAACCGATGGTCTGTGTTGATACAGTTCCCACGCGGTGTCGTTCGTCCTTAAACCAGAAACTTAGGGTTTACCTCACAATTGCTGAAGGACTCCGACGAGTCAGCAGCAGTTTGACACAGAACTTCTGCTGAGCGACACGTCTGTGTCACTGGCCTCTGCGCACATAATATCACTAGACACATTCTGCTCCATTAGCAAAAAGAAGAGGGGTGTAGGTATTCTTCAACTGGGTCACTATTGGAGACCAGCTTGAACTTGAATACGGTGCTATTCGTTTTTTGCGTATCCCCTACATAAAACAGGAACATGCAACACGACCCCAACATGACCTAATCACTTCGTTTCACCTGCGCACCATGAAGGAAACTGGTCCGCAAAGCAACGGGATGCAGTCTAAACCCTAATCAGTAGCTTGATGGGCTGAATATTCGTTAGCTGGTAACTAACCAACAGCTGAGGTATATCATATTTTTGTTTTGGCGTTTCTGAAAATGACAAACACATACTACTTCTGACTCTGACTCCTACATTTCACCATGTAGTCCTTGCTATGACCTCAGGATTTGTCACAACCCTTTGTGGGGCAGGTAGGTACAGGCAATTTTCTGGAAGCCCCTATAATGAGGATTCTAGTAAGTTAATATCTAAGTCCAGTATGTATGGAAAACACCCCGCTTGTTGGATTGGAGCACTTTAGAGTCGGGACCTGCTGACATTGCTTGGGCGGTTTAGTACGTAGTGTTTAAGGTGTTTAGGTTTTAGGGTTTAGTGTTTAAGATTCAGGGTTTAGTTTAGGGATTAGGGCAATTTTCCGTTCTAGAGAATGTTCAGCAGTGCTGCCGGCCGTCCTCATCCTCCATGTGTAGCTGTCCTGATAAATTACTGGGGGTCAGTAGGGAATGAGGGAATATGTTACATAGGATATATAGGGATTCTATCCCCGTGTTCCCTTCTCACGACCAGTAAGATAACCCGTCCGGATCCCGTTCTGTAATGCATAGTTATGTTTTCACCCACACTGAGCCCTCATGATTCTGTTGTGCCTGCTGCTTATCTCTTGATGAAGAGTCATGGCAAAGGCGTGTTTGGGTGCTGCTACTGAATGTTTTCCAACCAATGTGTCGGGTGTACGCGGCAGGCATCACATAGGCGTATATGGGCTATATCGCGCTAGGGGGATCTCATCCCAGACCGTGGGGAATCAAATGGACAATAAAATGAATAATACACATATGCAAACGATGTTTATATGCGAGAGGCCTGCCGAGCTACAAATGATGGAGAATCAGGTGGAAAGGAAAGTATATCGTGGTTGACGCAGAAGCCTGAATAAACCATACAATATACCGGATATGGCGATGGTTATGGTTATGGTTAGTGTAGAAGCCTCAGAAACGGAAATCCAGCTCGGTGCGTACCTTCCTCAACCTTGAACCCCAAACCCTAAACTCCTTTCTGCGGCTTGCTCACCTCAGAGCGTTTGGCTCCGGCAGTGTCGCCAAGCCCTGTTCTAACACATGCTTTTCATGCTTGTGTCTAGTATCTTGGTCCTAAGATCCTCACTTTGTTTCAGACAAACTTCCCGGCAATGGCTCAGCCAGCGGTCATGCAAACAGAAGCCTCTGTGAGAGAGGACCCTGTGTGCGATGCTGAGGCTTTAGGACACCCAGTATGTCAGGTCTGCATGGTATGCGTATGTATGTAGATATATGAGCTACTGCCAAGATTAGCCTTGTTAATGGACCCTCAACCGTGGACATAGCCATGAAAAGGAGCCCATGTCCATAAGATTTTGTAGGAACTGTTGGCTGTAGCTCATATGTATACTTGGAGGGTCAGGGGACTTAGCATGTAGGTTAATAATCCCCCCAGACCCACATACTAAGCCACATCCTCCCGATTATTAACCTACTTGTTGAGTTCCCCTGACCCTCTAAGTATACATGTATACCCGTAACCCTATAGACCGCAAACCGTTTAAATAGTCAGCTCTTGGGGCTTGTCTAGATATTGTGTTTCAGGGCCTTCTGTTATGCAGTGGGACCTGAATTTTTGGCTTACGTCTGTCTGCGCTCAACTTATCGCGGGGAGGGTAGTGGGGAATAGGTGAATGATAAATGAATTATTTGTACTTATTCCCTACTACCCACCAGTAAGTCAAGTGAGCAGGTTCTTTTAGTCGTCAGGGCTTCCCTCACGTAAATTAGACTTCGTATTTGTTAGGCAAGCATGTATGTGCATTTCATCAAGGTGCCTCACTATAGTCCAGCGAGAACCCCAGCCTCAGCTGTGTGTGACTTCTTACTCAAGGCCCGTATGCAAGCAAGAGCTCCCTTCCGGTTTGTTTACTGGTTCTCAGTAGGGAAGAAAAGAACATAACTCCTAGATTAACCCCCATTTCACATATTCCCTGATTCCCCAGCAAGCTCCAGTAAGATTGCTACGCCAAAAAACTTGGTGCATTTTATAGAAGAAATCCCTGACCTTCTCTGCGACGGTATGAGCGTCGAAAGAAGTACTGCGACTTGTTGCAGTTCATGGACATACAACGGCAAACTGCAAACTCTCAACGCTCGCAACATAAATCTCCAAGTCCTAAAACGCTGAACCCCCAAAGGCCTAAGGCTCAAACAGTCTAGGCTAAACCCCTAAGCAAAATTTAAGCTCTAATCCCTACAGCGGAACAGCTTACTTACTGGTGGTTAGTAGGGAGTACGGGAACATACTCCCTACACAATCCCTATCTAATATATGATTCCCTTATTCAATACTAACCCCAAAGTGAGACAATAAGGCAAACTCGTTGTCTCTCCACAGGACTTGGCCGCTGTCTACCGGCTGTGCCATCGAATGGGCCTCAATGAGGGGGTGTGCAACCACCTCACGGCACCTGGTTTGAACAGAGGGTCTTGAGCAATTGTTATAGGATTGTTGTATAAATTCCTGAGAGGAAATTGGGGGTAGAAGCAACTCCACCTACTAACCACCAGTAAGGCCAGTACATGTGGGAATACTTATCAGTAGACGGATTTGTTAACAGGGCAGGGAAGTATCATCATGTGCCCCGACCACTCCAGGCACGACCAACCTTGTGGCACTTGATTTGTGAGAAGCGGTGTAGGGTTTATGGTTTAGGGTTCAGGGTATGTGTGGGACTACATGGGGGTCATGGGAGTCCCAAGTAAGGGTTGCGTAGTCTCACTGGTTCTTAGTAGGGAATAAGGAATATAATCCCTATATAATCCCTATACAACATATTCCCTTCTTCACAACCCTAAACCCTAAACCCTAAACTCTACTAAGAACTATCACGTTGGCATTCATGTTCCGCCCTGAGGCACTAATCCCTGGACACACGGATCAATTTCTGGTGATTCCGCACGGCCTTCTCTGGTCAGACCTTCGGACATACCATTTGGATTATGTAGGGGAGTATTATAGGGGTTTACTAAGGGGGATAGTCTAAACTCCTTAAAGGAGGATTATAAAATTAGGGGATTATATAGGGGGAGTATTATAGGGGCTACTAAGGGGGAATACTAGGAGTTTGGACTGTGGCTCAGTTCCCTTTGTGGGGTCCTAAGTTCTGTACAACAACAAGCTATATCCAAACAGGGGGGGAGCCGTTCGTCCTTGGTTGCTGGGGATTCTTGACTACGGTGGATGGAAGAAATCTCGCAGCACTCAGAATCCCCAAGCTATTGTAGAGGAATTGTTATTGAGTACTATATAGTATGACATTTGTGCGGTTTCTCCCTAAACCAGGCTCTCATGGACCCTGGGGTTATCATAGATATGTGAGGATTTTGGCTATACATATGTGGGGCTAATCAGCAATAGGGAGCATTCTCCGCTAAGCCTTAAGTATCATATAGGGAGTAAGTTAACCAACTCCCGTCTGATTGACTAGAGGTTCAAAAGCAGGGCCCTGTCTCAACCCCAAAGAGGGCAACTGCCAGAACCCCAAAACTATGTACCAGAACCCCCAAACTTGTAGGGGCCCCATGGCAAGCCATAGCAACTTTCAGGATTCAGGAAGTGACTAGCTATGCACCTGCCCTACCTCGTCAACAGGCTATAGAACTCGGTTGGGTTTGAGGACATGCGCTCTGATAAGAATTCAGCATGTTGTCGTGGTTGCCCAGATTTCAGGTCAGAAGCTTATTGGTTCTTACTGTAGTTAGCAGTGAATCAATGCAAAAGAACATAACAACTACTGCATCATTGGAGGCTAAATATCTATGCAAACTCAACGTTACGCTAGGACTCCATGGCGAAGATGTGTGAAACCAACACCGCCCTCTTATCTGTCGCGTTTAGGGTTTAGGGGCTGTTAGCTTTTTGAGACATGCCCGAGGAAAGCTTACGGCGTTCTATGGTCCTTCGGCCGCGCGTATCCTACCTACTAGATGGGCATTATTTTCGGAAACATAGGCTGCTCCATTGAAAGGGGCTATAGGATTGTAGCGGGTTTCGAATTTAGGGTTCAGGGGAAAAGTACCTCAATGGTACCGAAGCAGGCGGAAAAGAAAGAGGAACATTAAAGGGACATAGGGGTGATAAACCTGCCTCCCCCTAACTCCTATGGCCTAAGCTCTTCATTCAAGATTCAGGAAGTGACCCCAGACAAGCTGCTGAAAGTCGCACACGATGGCACAATCCTGGCAGGTACGCCTGGGCTACTGTAGAGTCAATTTTCTTGCATTCGCCTCATAGCAGTCCTTGCAAGGATAGAACTTCGGAAGTGTTTGGATGCTTCAGGTCATGCCAACATATCCTTAATAAAGAAGACGCCGACAGGCCAGTTGGTGCATGCCGAACACTTTTGGGCTTCTACCTCACTTTCCTGTTGTTATCGCCGCTATTGGCATTGTTAGTACTATTCGTACTATTATTGTTAATACTATTTGTGTTGTTATTGTTTTCAGTATCACCACCGCTATTATTACCACTACGAACACTACTACTCATTATGAACGGCTTCTGGCTCCTGGGCTCTCTGTCAGGGATGAGTTGTATGAGCTCCGATTATACTTCGAGTCTACAGGGTTTCATTGGGATGGGTTGTCCCTCAATGTCCTGTCATTAACATTTTCTTCATGTCTTTCTACCCCAGAGAAGTTGCATGGCTCTAGAAGCGCCCATAAGAGTACCTAGCCGTGCTTCAATACGTGCTTTGCGGACATACCCAGACCCCTGGGAGTATCTAAAAAATAGATCCCCTATATAGACCCATTAGAACCCCTATATGATCCTTATATAATTCCCCCTATGGTTCTAGGGGATCTAATTTTTAGATCCTTTTGGGGGTCTGGGTAGGGGTCCAGGCTTCAATCATACCAACCGGACCCTAGATCTGCCAAACCTGTTACATGCTGAACCCTAAGTGCTAAAACCCATCCCTGGACAGCTTCGCCTTATGTAGACTGAAGGGTCCCAGGGACCCAAATAGAAGGGCTTCAAACTTTAAGCCATTCGCGTTATAGTATTGGGACCTAAAGCCCCATTCTGGGGGTCCTTGTACCGGTATATTTACAAACACCTTATGTTTCTTATATGATTATTACATGACCCCTAGATAAACCCATATAACCCCATCATTCGGGTACTAGGACCCTTTACGTGAGCTACAGCAACATGAAACAGCGCTCCAACAAAGTCGCAGTTAAACTGGTGGAAGCTCCTTACATGATCCTAAACAGGCCCCCCTGTCCAATATCCATTGGTAAATTCCATACCCCAAAGGTCCCCAAGAGCGCAATTTCAAGAAATCCGCAGAAGTCAGGGAATCGCAAGAAGGCATCAAGCGTAGGTGGGGCGGTTTAGGCTTGACGGACCAGGAGTTTATGCTTGAGGGTTTGGGGTTCAGGCTCCACGGCCGTTGGGTAGGCAGTTTGGACCCAGCCATTGTTCCAACCCAAGGCCTATACTTTAAACCCTAAATCTAAACTCATGGCATAGGCCGCCCACCTTCGATGGTGGGCGGCGCTTATGCCCCTCAACATCGATGGCGCAGGTCGATCCAGGACGCTCGCCTGCCTTCCCGCAGCCAGGGGTACTGTAGCACCCACGAGAGGCCAGGTACCTGTAGGAGTTCTCCTCGGGACCAGTAAAGTCACTACCCTAAACCTGATAATCGAAGTTCTGGCGGCCGCTGGGTGGTTTTTTTTAGCATGGATCCCAGGGGGGTCTGGGGGGTCCAGTGCCTCTTCTGCGAGCGAATTTTGGGATCAGGGGGCCTGACAGCCAGGAAGGGGGCAAGCGGCTCAAAATTTTCACCAGCCAGAAAATCAGAGCTTTTTTAGGCCTTCAGGGCCTCCCAACGCCTCCGAGGCCAGCCTCTCGCACAACCCCCCAAACCTCCCAGCTTCCAGGGCCTCTAAGGCCTCAGGGCATCCCAGAGCCTTCCTCCCCAAAGCCGCGTCTCAAGAACTGCAGGACCTCCAAGGGTTTCAGGGCCTTTTCAAATCTCACAGCAAGCAGCTAAGGCATCTCAAATTTCATAACAAACATCCCTCCCAGCTCTTGGTGTTTAAAGACAGCCTAACATCAAAATGAAGAAGTGTTGTTGGCCAAGATGGACCTAACTGAGTTTAGGTCCTAAACCCTAAAAGGAGTAGGTTTGGTGGTGGGGCCGCCTCAGACGGCGTGGGGTGGGTGATTGTGCTAGATGGCCTTCTACAGTCAAGCCATGGCAGCACCTCGCATGCAACCATGCACTTGAGGGATCATTGAGACCTACTCATCACATCCTGCACGGCAACATCACAGCATACAAAACCCTAAATCCTAAACCCCTACAACCCAATCCCGGATATAAGGCTTCTGCTCCCAAACCCTGAAATTTCTGGGTTAAGCGTGTAGGGTCTAGTGTTAGACCCCCCCAAATTCCCACAAGGACGCGGGCAGTGCGAGATCTCTGCATTTGAGATACATCGGGCCATCCACCTCACTGATCCAAAACGCCATGCAGTTGTGCTGCACACTCATATGCCCTTTGGTTGCAGGTAGTACAGAAGTTCATGTTTCTGATAGCGGTGTCTAGTTGCCTGGGTCGTGTTGAGGTCAACATCATGTTTGGCGCTTGCTGTTTGGAAACGCGTTTTCTCGCGCTTGTTGCAGTCGTTTGCCAAGTTCCTCCTTCATTTCCTAAAAATCCCTGAGGTTGCAAGGGTCCCCAGGCTGGAACAACACCCAATCTTCTTCTGAGATGTGAGTTAATGGCAAACCTCACCCTCTTTCCCAAAAGCTCCCAGTAGCCCATGTTGGACGTACTCCCGGTAATTCTTAAGGTCCCAAGTATATCCCATACAGGCACCTCGGGCCTTTGGGCTCTGAACCCTAGGCTTTAAACCCTACATGCTAAAACTCAATCTCGAAACCCTAAACCCTATCCCCCAAATCCCAAACCTTAGAAGGCATTAAGCCTTAAACTCAACAGAACCTTGGGCTCCGCAGACTCCACAGCTTTTCTTCGAGCGGCTCTTAAGATTTAGGGTGAGAAGTTTAGGATGCAGGGATTTAGGATTTAGGCTTAAGGTTTAGGGTTTTGGGGGTTTACGATGTAAGCATTGAGGTTTCAGGGCTGAGGCTAGTAGCAACGAAAGTGAAACTTCCTTCAGTTTTAATTGTTGTTGATTTCTTTTTCTCTAGCAGTGGGTGGGAAAGAGGAACTAATGTAATTACGATGGAATGGTGGCTTGAGACTTTCTACGCGTAGGTAGGCCTGGTCCAACCTGATGATGCAGTCGCGTGTGGAAACCCATTACTTCCTTATTTCCCTTTATATCCCTCTACATGCCTTTGTATCTCTACATCCCCGCCGTCAGAGCGACACCTAATTCTCTCTATTAGTGTTCTATATTCTATTCTTCGTCAATAAGATTCCTGCTGCTAAGGCCATACACAACAGCGCTCTGCTGCGTGGCAACAAAGGATGGTGAGCATCCCCTGAAGATGTGCAACCAGACACTCGCTGCATAATGTGAGTGCCGAAATAGTCTGGATTTCGGGTTGTCGGCCGTATCCCTAAGCGTCTATGTACCCCATAAAGTAGGTACTTGGGCTGCAGCACTGGTATTTGCAATACAGGTCTTGGTGAAGTATATGATTGTTCCATTAGGCTTGATTAAGTCCGAGATGAATAGGCCTGCAGGTTTTCAACAGCGTTCAGGGCCTTCTGGCCAGGGAAGTGTAGGCAGTATTTAGGCTTCACGCTGAGGGGCCTCAAGGTTAAGAAGGAGGTCCTTCCTACTGCAGGGTCTTGTAGGGTCTCATTTCAAGGTGCTTACAGGAGCCCGGGCAAGTGACAACAAGCTTTTGTGGGATAGCCTGCATAGTCGATCTACAGGCGTGGTTACTCAGGAGCAGAGGAACATGATAACAGTTGGCCTCCTTTTGGAGTTATCCATGCCCCGGTTTAGGGTTTGGGGACTTTTTTGGGGTGGTTCTTGAGATATGCGGTTGAAGGGGGCATCTTGGCTAGGTTGCGGAGGTCTGCTGATAAAATCTGGCTTTGACAGGCTCCTGTAAGCCTTAGAAACCGAATCCCTAAACCGCGAATTAAAGCCTTAACCCTAATCCATAAACCCTAAGGCAAATCTCTAAACCCTTATCCCTAAACACTAAGCCTTAACCTCTAAGCCCTATATGGTAATTCCCCAAAATAGGGGGACCCCAATATAGACCCCAAAATACTATAATCCTTATTATTGGGACACCCAAAATGGTACCCGTAATTTTNNCCCCCCCCCATATAAACTCTAAGTAAACCAAGGGTTTGAAAGTAATGCGGCATCAAACCTGGGATGAAGGTGAAGTTGACAGCAGAGGGTTCTATGGAGCAGAAGCTCTGATGTGGGATCAGTTTAGGGTTTAGGGTTCAGG